ACAACAACAGCGCCATCAGGAGCGGGAAAACCATCAGGAACAACAACAGCGCCATCAGGAGCGGGACAACCATCAGGAACAACAACATTTGAGTCTTTCCAACCGGGGCCATGCCAGGAGTGTTATTGTGGCCCCAAAACTGATGTGGTTACCAAGCTGCCTATCATTGTCTGCAAGCCCATAGTCTGCAACACATACTGCACCGAAGTAAGTGCATTGAGTGGACTCATGAGAAACAGCTCTCAGCATAATGCAGTTCAGTACAACAGTACCGTTGACTAAACCAGCCGCTACCTGACAGTGTCAATAGAAACTGAATATTAAAAGCATCATAAAGGTATGACAGAGCTGTTCTATTGGACTGCATTAGGTTGTACCAGTGTACCTAATAAAGTGGTCCTTGAGTATGTAAGGCTGTATGTTAATTATATGTATTTCTTTTATTGCCATTTTTAAAAAAAACAAACCCTGGGCTGTTTGCCCATATACTAAGCTAAAGTGGTATCTCCTACAGTACTGAACAATACCATCCCAGTACCGGTTTATCTTTTATTGTTAGTTAATAATATGGTGTTTAAATTCACTGTCCACTAAAGTGATAAATAGCGATTACCTGAAAATACTGCATGAATCGAAAACCCCTGTATCACATTTGAGATGTTCAGAAGGTTACATTAGATGTATATGGAATTGAAAAGTTATCCACAAAAGGGAGTGCAATGCAAGTGCACGCACACTGCAGCGTTTTCTTGGTCATTTCTCACACTCTCTCTCTGTCTGCAGGGTTATGAATATCAGACTGTAGCTGGCAAGTGCTGCGGGACCTGTGTTCAGAACAAATGTATTTTCAGAGCACCTGACAACACAACGCACATCATGGAGGTGAGTACTGCTTCTCTCGCACTTTTAATAGCCAAGCATATGAGAAATGTTATTGAAGTTGTGAGCAAGACAGCTCTATTTACCAATTTAGATGGTTGTTAAAGATTCGATAGATAGTTTTGTTTAATTCAAAGCCAAAAGTAAGAAGTAAATAATGAAAGTTGTTTGTATATGAGCCAAAAGGGATAAAAGTGTCTCTCTCTGTTGAATATCCGACTCAGTTTCTGCTCTTCCTGTTGGTACAGGTCAACGCCACTTATGTACTGCCGAGTGACAAGTGTGTGCACTATACCTGTGAGGAGATCAATGGACAGTATGTTACCAAGGAGACCAAAACCACGTGCCCACCCTACCATCCTGAGGACTGTGAAACTGTAAGTTTATCAAACATCTACAACTGATACTCCTCCCACCACATACTGTCCATGTGTAACACACAACATGTCTTCCTCCTCCAGGGCACCGAGACAACTGACGCTAACGGATGCTGCAAATCCTGTAAGTGAATACATTTTAAGAATGGAAAGACAAAGATGTGTATCACCTGCTATTGTCAGAGGCTAACAGTTCCTGTGTGTTCCAGGCAAGATACGGAACATCTGTGAGGTCAAGAGTAAGCAGACGGTCATCGAGGTGAACGGCTGTACGAGCGTGCAGTCCGTCAACCTGACGTTCTGTGGCGGACAGTGCGGAAGCTCGTCCATGTGAGTCTCTCTTTAGCACCAATTTGAAATACAGCTTAATCCTTTTCACTGTCGTTGGTAGTTTAATTCTCTCAGGTGGAATTTGGTTTCCTAACTAGAGTGAGTTTCCTTTAACGTAGCAGCTCATTTAGACAGTATCTGTGCCGCCCATCAGCTAACTGCAAAGTCAAAAACATGATTGAACACAAATACTGGGCTTCCACAAGAATGCTTGCCCAACTTTTGGCATTTGACTGTGCATTGATGTGTGTTACACTCTGAACATTGTGCCACTTTATACTAGAATAACCTGACAGGGGGCCCCAGGGCGAACATCTGCTGTTGGGAACCTCTTACGTAGCAATAAGCATCACACAAGCACAACATAAACTACATTATCAAAGATTGATCTTAAAACCTGATAGATAACATAAGCCTTTGATGTTCAACTCACTGTTGTCTGTTGCTGTGTGTGTGTGTGTGTGTGTGTGTGTGTGTGCAGGTATTCTGCAGCAGCTAACATGATGATGCACCAGTGTGAGTGTTGCCAAGAGGCCACCACCAGTCAGAAGCAGGTGCAGCTGTCCTGCGCCGATGGCTCCAAGGTCCAGCACAGCTACACCATGGTGGAGACGTGCAGCTGCAACAAAGCAGAGTGTGTGGGGGGGACAACGTCCAAACCACAGCGCCGCAGGAGACGCTGATTGACTACTTAGTGTTTGACACCGGACTGAAACCTGACAAGCACTTAAGCTTTTTAACCTTCTTATTCTCAGATTTTATTATTTATAGCCCGACATGTGCTTTTGCAGTGTTGCAACATACTACTGCGATGGAAACCTTTCTTCTACTTTAAATTTCTTTGATAATTATTAAAATTATATCTCTGCAATACCAACACTTGTGTCGACATTTGTATTGATTCCTGGGGAATGGTGAATATTAATAGCTGTATATTCTAAGCAAAAAGGTCAGTTTGACTTACCCTTAAGCCCCGCCCCTTTTGGAACCCCAGAACCATCTAGCTTAGCACATAGCATATGTCAGTACAACTGTATTGCTTATGCTGTATGCTTGCTCAACTGTTATTGGAACATAGATCAAAAGGGGTGGGACTTAGGAAGGGTCAATTGAAAATAACAGAATCACATGACACAGAATAAAATTTACATTTTAACAATCTCAACAGCAGTAGTTTTGGAATCACAAGTGAAAAGTCACAACTATAAGACATCTCTTACATGAAACCTTTGGCAGACAGCACATTAACAACAAGACCTTGTAAGCTACAAGTGTCAGTGGAAAGCTTTAGGAACTACAAATACTGCGGCTGAAAGAAGACTAAACATGTAAAGCTCTGCTTGCGGTGTTAGAAGCTGCTGTGCAATACACCGAACTATGAAGCATGAATGAGCTCCCCCAAATCTGTCTGGTTTTTTTCCTCATGTAAAATCTTAGCTGATGGTCAGGAGTCAGCTTCTGGGGACCATGAACAGCCAAAGCACATTTCATGGAAGTCTGGTCACTATAATGTTAGCCTCAGCTCCTCCTGAAAACAGATGTGGACATTTAGCTCATTGAAAGTTACTCTCCACTTTATCTGAGTCACTGCTTAGACCAGTGCCTCTCAAACTGGGTGCAGAAAATTGTGAATATTTGAATTTCATTATTATTTCATTGGCTAAAAGTTAGAATGTATAAGAATGACTGTTTATCTGCCAATCTACAGTACAGACAGTTATAGGATAACTAAATCTTACCAGACAGGGATCTTAGACTACATCTTCCATCCATGGCAGATGATTAACTTGGATGGAAAGTGTTTTGGTCTCTAAAACTCTAATCAAACATCCTACTGAGCTTCCAAACACCCTAATCTCATCAGGAAAGTGAAATCTTCATTCTCATAATTGTTTTAAGAAGCCAATCCACAGGATCTTCCTAACAGCATCAGGTCTTCCCATCCTTACTTCACCGACTGAAACAGGCTACATTAAATTCACTGTGAAAGATAACTTATAAACCTTACTGTCTCAGGTTATTTCTTCATTCTCAGTTCTCTTGTCGCCATAAAGAATTCGACATAATTTAATACATCCATAATAATTTATCAGATTTTGAGTGCACTAAACATTTTACAGCTACATATGAAACAGAAGCAGTTCGCTGCAGGTTACTATAGACAGCTTCTCCACACACTGTTAACAACATCAACAGAAGATGGACTGAACATGACTCACTACAGCTCAAACAGTGCAAATCAAACCCTGGGGAGTGCAGATGGGTTACCATGGATACAGTGAACGATTGTGCTGTTGAAACAATCAAGAAACACATAATGATCCCGACTATTAAGATTTACAATGCTCATTGAGTCACACTACTGCCAATTCAGTATTAAGTTTGAGTCTCTACTCTGATACAAACCTCAGTGATCCTGTCAGAATTTCCCAAATACATCCGATATCATCTTAAACCAGCGGTTGTTGCGATGCTTTGAGGAGATAGTGTCAGTTGTGACAGACAGCTGAGTGTTAGCAGAGACAGCCCAGGATTCTTCATGTACTGTTAGGCCAACAAGGAGTCAATAAAGGGAGAGGAGACAGATCTCTGTGGCAACCAGCTGAGCTGGTGGGAGCTCAGGTATGGCTGCAGTGTGTGGCTGTGTCTGTGTGGATGCAAAGGGTGGGCAGTCTCTCCGTGTATATGTCGGTGTGCATGCTTACCTGTTTGTGTGCGTGTGTACGTGTGTGTGTGTGTGTGTGTGTTAGCATGTCCACTGCGAGCTCGTGCTCTGCAGTTAGAGCTCCTCGGCCATCTGCAGCAGAGAGTTGATGGCAGCGTCCTTGTTGCCCTGCTGTGCGTCCAGCACCGTGCGAACCACCTCCTTGTCCAGGTTGGGGAACATGTCCTGCAGAGCCTTCAGGTCCTCCTCGCTGCACACTGGCTCCTGAGCCCCAACTGCTGGCATGGTTGCTGGCATTGCCATGGGCACCATGCCCTGGTTGTAGACTGCAGGCACTCCTGGCAACAGAGAACACACACAGCTTTAACATTATCTGGGTTATTTTCTCAGACTGGACTCCTCCAGAGCCACATTAGCAGCACATAAACCCACTGTGTGTGTGGGGGGGGGGTCTCACCTGCGATGGGCACATATCCCACTCCTTGCTGATACACAGAAGGCATTAGGACAACAGGCTGAGTCATCATCCCTGCTGGTAAGGACTGGCACAGAGACACAGAGACACAGAGACATGAGTTAGAGCTGTGCTGGATGTGTTGGTGCATTAAGATCACATCCCTGCAACCTCTGCTCTCTCTCAAGTAACATCCACACCAGCAGAGGGCAGCAACACAAACAGTGTGCAGAGAGGAGGGCCTGACATAAACAATGAAAACTGAAGGCCCCCACAAATTAATTTGTGTCCTTTGTCCTTTTATGAACACTTTTCATTGAGCTCAGTGGAAAATGTCACGAGGTCAAGGAAAGATGTGAAGGACAATTCATAAAGGAAAAGAGAGTGGCGGTGCTGAGAGAATCCGACTGCACTTACACCAGGCTTATCATGGCTGCTGCTGAAATACTTTGTCAGTACTATAGTAATGGTTCTCAACTGTATTTTAATGTCACTATTAGTTCATTGACTATAAGTTAGCCCAATGAGAGAATGTATAAGAAAGACCATTCTGTTCATAACTTTCACATTCTTCTCTGTTAATCTGCCTAATATTAAAAAAATACGTGTATGTGTATCAATCGGGGCTCTCTGACACCAAAAAGGTTGAGAGCCACTGATCTATATGGCTTTTTTAGACAGTGGCTACTTTTCCTTGGCGAGAGTACTCACAGCAAAAGACATCACCAGGTTGATCATGCCCTCCTTGTCGTCGCCCTGTCTGCCGCTGAGGCTGAACCACTCGTCCACCACGCTGCCCTCCCTCAGGCCCTCAGGGATGGTGACGTGAGTCCACGCTATCCGGTCGTCCATGGAGAACGCTCTCTGGACGGCAAAAACACAGAAACAGACAAAGCACACGCTCATCAGATCACTTAATACACACGTTCAGAAATGAAGATTTGTTCATGTGTGCTGCATTTTAACACCATCTTAACCCCTTGTTGTCTGGAATAGAACATGTCTCTGGAGCCACACTGCTCTGTCCTCAGACACTGTGGTTTATAGGACTTTAAACTTGCAACCTTTCAAAAGATCACTCTGCTAAACTGCCACATCCAATCCCAAACGGATTGCCATTAAAGGGTGTGTCAGTCTGATCCCGTGTATCCTTGATCAAGCCGCCTCCAGAATCCCTCCTCGCTCCTTTGAGCAGAGAATCAGTACATCCTTCATAATGTCTGACCGGATCGGTTACCAAATACTCCTTAAAGAAAACAGAAGGGGGATATCCCAGTGTTTGACAATCCCTCGCTTTAATCCGTTCAGCTGAATCTGACAGAGCAACAGTCCCCACATATGTTGCGTACACATCCAGCAGTTCAGATTATCCACCACCTCCTCCACCCCCTCACCTCATCAAAGATCTCCAGGTAGAAGGAGTCCACCCCGGGAGGCACCGTGCACTGGATCACCTTGTTCCAGCGAGGGTTCTTGGCTCCGTTGTGAGCGGTCGGCGTTTCGTAGACTGCATAGCCCAGTCGGACCCTACAGTACGGATCCATCCGGGTCATTCCGTAGTTTTTAGCCAGCTTGGCCTGTATAGCAAAACAAACAAGGCAGTTTCAGTTAGCGGGTTCAATCAAGGTGGCTGCTGTCACAGTTGTATTCAGTGGATGGTGGTATACAGATGCAGTCTGATGGCTTCAAATGTGCAACGTGTCCACACATGATTTCAGCTCTGAATTACATTAACATGCAATGATTAAAAGAGGTTAAAGGGATACATTAGTGTCCTGTTCTTTGGTCGTGTCTAGATGGTAACCTTAGTTTTGTGAAAACGCTTGCATGATTTGAATGTGTTTCATTAAGCGTGTTGTTTGTCACTGTGTACCGTTACCACAGAGCCAAGAGAAGCATTGTTTGGTTCCATATTCTGGTTGCAATATAGTTTAGGCACGTCTTACTTTTCCCCTTGCACATGTAGGCTACCTAAATGTTGTCCAAATGTGAACCAAGTTGTTGTCCCTGCTATGCATCTATCAGAAAAGAGTACTTTATAGTGGAGATTTAAGATTACCGTGCATTAATAAGTGAAGTGGCCTACAACAGCATGATTTGTCACTTTGACTTTTTCAGCTATCTGCGAATGTCTACTACAGTGGATTTCTGCTCATTACTAGTTATATGAGCTCTCAGCCAAGGAGCACACGAGGAAGCGCACTGATTTCTGTTTGGTACCGGTATCCAGCGAAACATGCAGGGGAAAACACAAGGAGCCAGTCACAGTTCTTGCAGTCTGCACGTGGCATCACCATTGACGCCACAGCCCCGACATGCAGTTACAGAGGCGCCATAGCTGCTTATAGCTGCAGTAGTTAACTTTAAGAAAAATCATTTTGTGTCATATTTGTTGAAACTTTCACTTGCGAATAGCATTCGGAGCACTAGGAGGAGCCAGAGGAACCTGGTTTTTCACAGATTATCTGTCTCATGACAATGTTTTAAGAGACCTACAGCAGCTTTGACACTGATATATTAATCCATATTTACAGTGACACTGTTTCTGGAAAGTGGTGTTGCTGTTGTATGTTTACCAATACCAATAACTAGCATGATAATCTAATATTTCTATGTTTTTATACCACACGTTATTGATACAAATATCATACTATTCATAATGGTACAAATACTCAAATGAGACACAGTTTACCTGGACCACAGTAATGCTGAGTCGCCCTACGGTGCCCATTGAGCCTCCATACTGCAGCTGTCTGGCTGCCTGGGCATCCAGCTGCACCTGCTGCTGCTGCTGTGTGGGAGTGATCCGCAGGAAGTCCTGGGGAAGCTCCCCGATATACACCTGAATACACACACACACACACACACAGGGATTCAGACTGGCAGTGCAAAGAGAGAACACACACCTGAGGCACAGGATATGCTGATAAAAGTTCAAAGTGCAAAGACATCAAACGTCAAAGTTTCCAAACTTATAATCGGCAGTATGTGTTCAGTGCTGTTTCCTGTACCACCGCTCTGTGCAGGCTGTTAAGAAAAGAAAAGAAATGTTGTGTGCTCTGACTTTTTTTTTTTGCCGTGGTATCAAAAGAGATACTGAGTATTGATCTTATAGTATTATTGCATCCAAGTTTAAAATTCTGGTATCGTGGCCACCGGTCTTGTTTTCTTTTAATATTAGAAGCAGCCATAAAATGACAATACGAGGAACCCCTGACTGAAGCTGCAGCCATCGTTCCAATCTTGTGAACATCATGTGAGTCTAATGACTTATCCTATCAATAGTTGCCTTCTTGTGCAAGTCATGTGCATGTGACCAACAGCATGTGGTGTGTATAGGCCAGTGGTTCCCAACCTTTTTCTTTAAGGTTTCCTTTCCTGTCATTGACTGACGCCCCCTCGCTGAGTGACATATTTAATGGATAATAACAGTAAAGAAAAAACGGATAAACTGTAAAATGAACCCAAACAGTGAACTGCTGTTTGTGTAAAATGATGATTTGGATGGATGTTGAGCAGATTATTTCCTGTAAATATTAAAAGTGCTGAGATATATGCCTACTCTGTATATGTGTACTTGAAGCTTTTGCAACCCCTAGTGGGAGTCCTAGACCTAGAGGTACTTTGGAGTACTGCAGGGGATACGTGAGATGTCAGTCATGCATAATTCCTAAAATAATTCTACTCCAAAAAGTTCAATAACAAAATGTAAAGGTTAGAAAAACTACATTTTATATTCAATGTTCCCATTTTCAATGCAACCATTCCTCACAGAGGAAGAAGAAAACAACAAACACAATCAGGTTCACAATGATGGGGGTGGGAAGCCGGTTTCTGATATTAAAAGGAAGAAAAAAATCAAGGAAATTGAGTTGACGAATTCAGTGTTTTCTTCATATTTTACGTTTTCTTACACGCCTTAAAATCAAGAAGGCCTCATCACCCCCCACCCCAAGTCTTCTACGCTTGGGGAAGCATAAATAAATGTGCAGTTTCTATTTGAATCTATCTGCTGTACTCCTCTGTACTCCTGTGTACTCCTGTGTACTCTGCTGTACTCTGCTGTAACTCCTCGTACACTTCTGCTGTAAGACTGCGCTCTGTACTCCTCTGCTACTCCTGCTGTAACTCGCTGTATCTGCTGTACTCTGCCTGTAATCCGCTGTCTCTGATGTACTGCCCTGCTGTACTCTCTGTACTCCTCTGTACTTTCCTCTGTAGAAATCCACCCTGCTGCTACTCTTGCTGCCTACTCAACTGCTGTACGCTTGCTGTAAACTCTGCTGTATTCGCTCTGCTAGCCCCTCTGCCTGCTACTCCGCTGTAACTCTGCTGTACTCTGCTGTATTCTTCCTGTACTCCTCTGTCCTTCCTCTGGAAAGCAGCGTTGGAGTTGGCCAGCAACAAGAAGTAAACTGATAAACAGAGGCCGGCTCCATTACTTGGGCTGCAAACCAGACACTGTTGGTCGTTGTGGTGGAAGGACCTACAAGACTGAGCCATCATGATTCCGCCCCCTCATCCCACCCTACTAGACGACAAGCGGAGTATATTCTATAACAGACTGCTTAAGATTAACCGTTGCACCAAGGGAAGATAAGAACCATTTCATACCGAATCCATCTCTTCTATTACACGATAATCACCGTGTCGTTCTACATTCGACTGATAGTATAACATTAATCTTCTTTGTAACACGTCTGTAGCTAAATCACGTATCTTCTACTTCTACTATTTCATATTTCTCTCTTTATTGATGAAGCGTTTTATATTAGACTAGTCTCTGCCAATATTGTCCGTATTCTAATAAGACTATTTAGACTCTTATGTTTACTGCCTGTCGTGGTTTATGGTAAGTCCCTTAACCGAGAACCCACTCGGTTGCTGCTGTCTCTCACATTCTCAACTCTCTCATCCCAGGGAAGTGAGCTGGGATGTAAATGCCCTAACAGCCCGAACCTGAGTTACGCTTAGATACCGTGACTACAGAATAACAGACAAGTTGAATCCCGCATTAAGTTGACATGTGAGTGACGCAATGGGACATTGGTCCTAGCCAGATCGGCACTTTCCAGAGCAATGTACGCACTTCGTTGTTACTTGATAAGATCACACTGAGTAAAACTATAGCGGCTAAACTACACATAAACATTTCTTTTTTGTTTCAGAATGCAACAAACTGCCTTGGTAGTGAGCTCGACTTTGACTCTTTTTATCATTAAGAGGTAATCCAAAAATGAAGGGACCAGCATGATCAAGGTTATCTTAAGTCCCTCCTAATATTGTGAATACTGAGTCACCGCTTGGTTAACCGGCTTTCATGCTCTTCCCAGTCACTGATTACAGAACATTCCACATTTTAAACGATGAGCGCATCCTGTGTCTGGCCGTGTCTTCTGATGCTGGGTAGGCCCAACACGAAAAGGTATTCCGGTTTTTTGGTAGATACTTTGTGTTTACTTTCAACTTCACGTTACTTATCCTTCTTCGACCAGCGCTACTTCACCTTAACACTTAACTGCGCTTTTTATAAGAGTATACGGTACTTTTTACCCCCCGCCAACTGCGGACAGAGTGGAAGCCCAAAATAATGACTTGAGAAGAGAAAACTTGTTATCGGTTATCTTGAAAGCTTCTCATGTAAGATCGAACTCACAGACCTTTTTCTATATTTATTAGGTCACAGTGTGGGCTTCCATAGGATACGCTGCTAGTCTTTTCTACTCCTAAAATCCACTGACAGGCCGCGGGTCAATAGTTTGGCAGCATAACATTACAGCCCACAGCGAATTCGTTGCTGTTGCTCGTGTTTGTTGTTTGTTGTTCTGTTGTTGATCGAACCTTGCCACGACCCGGATAGTTTTTAACGACAGTAATGGGCTCGGCTAAGCTGGTGCTGTTACGCGCTGCCTGACGTTTAAACCCCCTGAGCTGCTCCGCTGCAGACCACCGACATGTTGACCGCTCGTTAAGGGCAACCCGGTCTACCGTGTAGTCCCGCCTCGCACGGACCAGGTGCAGGAGTCATAAAGGTCCCTCTGTGTCGTCCAGGTCTATGACGCCCGCCCTCGGGCTGTTGGACTGTGTCCACACACAGAGGCAATCTGGCGCCGCAGTGCGCACCTTGTGTGCTCTGCTTGTCCTCTCAACTCCGCGCACCTCTCTCGCCTGCCCGTCCACCTCGCCGCACCCTGGTAAACTCTGCACAGCTCCACGCCTCGTCTCCGCGAGCTTGTATGGGTCCTGACGATATTCACAAGTGAACGCGAAGCGAGAGGCAGTGGTGGTACTTCCCCGCTGAGGGATAGCTGGTCGCAATGTTTGTCGAGGCTCTTATCATCACAGAAACGTTAAGCAGATGAAAGACACCACCGGCAACACCCACTGGAGCTGCCGGCATTAGCTCGCTCGCACCGAAGTAGTTGGGTATCCGCATTAGCTATAATACGCATACCTCAAACATCCCACATTTTATTCCTTCTTAAGTGCTCTCAAACCCTGAATACCTTTATTAAGTAGTAATTAATCTCCAGAATCATATCTGTCAATACTCTAGATGAGAGAAAGTGCAACACAATTCAAAACAAATCTGCGTATAATAAATGACGAAGAATATACCATGTACAAATAAAACACCATAACAATTTTTCGCACTCTTGTATTAGCTTAGAGTAACCCACCGGTCTACTTTTTAGAGCTTAGGGCACTTGTGAATTACTTTCCAGACGAGTGCAACGTAACGATTATACACTATCCCGCAACACATTTAATCCGGTTACAAATAACGGTTGTTATTAAAGAAATGAACGTAAAACTATCTACGAAAGAACCAGAAGTGTCGACCTGCTGCTGCTCGCATGGTTACCTGACCATTCCTACTTTTGGGAACTCTCAGGAGTAAAGATGGGGGGGCACTAATGGGTCCTGGGTTTATATCAGGATAAATCGTTTTGTTAATTTGTCATTTAAGAAGAAATTAGCTGTTTCTGTCTGTAAGTTGTTTTAAAAATAAATCGGAATGATTACCTAAACGGGTCTCTTTTAACTTACAAAATTTAAAAAAGGATCCGATCATAACGTAGATAGGTACATAACCAATGGGAGAAGAATAGTAAGTAGTAGTACGTTCTCCGAGAACTCTCTATAGGTTTCGATTTGCTACTGAAAAGGCTTGTTCTTCTTATATTCCCAGAAAACTGCATTTACTCTAAGTGCACCCAACCCTGGTGGCGAAGCAGGGTACAACATTCAGACGTAATCCTATGAACAATGTGCAGCTAGACAACCTAACTACAATATTACAAGGATTATGTCAATATAAAACATGTGCCTGCTGGCCAGAGTTTCCCTGA